CTATAGGGGCGCCGCGAAATATTGTAAAAGCTTCAATTTGAGAAAATGTGCAGTGAATTGCAAGCTCATCTATCACATTAATTATTAATTATTAAATATTAATTTAATGTCAATGAGTAAAATAAATAATGAAGATATACGAGTTTTATTTATTTTTATCTCTTACTTACTTAGCGTAGGGCGCCATGGAAAATTTTTTATTGAAAAAGGGAGCCGCGACTAGGAAAAGTTAGGGAACCACTGCTCTAGACTGTAACACAATTACTTAAATGACTAAAGCTGCAGTTCTAGATGATTATTAGAACAATAGCCACTAAGATTAAATTCTCCCAAGAACGAGATAAAAAAGCTTTAGTATTCTCTTTGTGAGACTAGGGATTTTCAAGGGATGTTTGCAGATAGACATTTCGTTAGAATATAAAGCATTTTTAATCGGTGCTAGGATCTCATTAAGGCATTAAAGGTAGATAAAAGAGTGAAGGGCCTACCCTCGATCGGTAAGGATGATACTACCATGCCGCGATTCAAGCATTCCAGATAGCCCATCTAGAAGGTCTGTGGGGGCCAAATTAATCTCATCTAAAAGTACCCAGTCGCCTTGACGAAGAGCACGCACCAGGCACCCTTCGACGTAAGTAAATAGTGGGCAACCGGAAACAGCGACCTCCCCTGGTACAGGAACCTGAGGCCCTAAGTGGGGAGATGAGCCATCGGTCGCGTTCGCTCTCAGCTGAGCCTGCAACTGAGTCAATTGGGCATTGAAGGCTAGCCAATCGGCTAGCCTAGGGGCAACATGAACCCCTAAAGTATCAGAGCTACTAATTGTATTCACGGCGGAGGAATTAGGGGCAGTAGCATTTGCATCTGATTTTTGTCGAGAAGCGATATTAGTCAATGCAGTCTGAGTCGGATGGCGCATCAGGAGAAGAAGGGTGTGCCAATTACCAGAGTTGAAGCAGTTCTAAGAAATAAAAAGTTAATATTAAAAATGTTAACCAACTTAATTGTGACGGGATTATAAAAAGAACTATAAAATAAGCACCAACCTGCAAGTGGCCCAAAAATGTTCTGTTTGTTTCAAGTTTGAACGTACGCACAAATAAAATTTCGAATTGCTCCTTGATAGGACGAAAAATGGCCTTAATATCTGTAGGCTTGAATCTGA